GATCGATTGGTGGGTAGCTCGACCAGTCTGATCGAGCATCAGGCTACTCGATCGCCTGTGCAGTCAAACGTTGGATTGTTCGATCGCTTGTGTGGTTGAGCCTTGGGCTGCTCGATCACGTGGATTCCCGCCTTTCGGCTTGGTTTGCTCTTGGTCCGCACTTCTCAACCGGCTCACCAAATCGATTCGTCTTTATACAGATAATATCCTATATCAGACTTGAACATTAACAAAGGCTAGCTTATATTTAAAAGCTAGTATCTTTCCTTTATTAATAAAATACGGGGTGTTACACAGCGCCCGTCCGCGTAGCCTATCCCCGCACATCCGCGACACGCACCCTGCCAGCACTCGTCCGCATCACGCATCCGCGACCGTGCTCACGTCCCGCGTACACGCACGCTGTCCGCGCCCGATGCGAACGAGCTGCCCGCTGCAACCCGACGCCGAGACCTGTGTGCCCTTCAACCGAGATCCGTTTGACGTGTCGATTAGAATCGACTAAAGGCCAAACCTATCCACCCATTAGGTTGTGGTGTTCAGACGAACTTCATCAACGGTACTCTACATCGTCTCAGAGTCGGAAAAAATTTTAAAAGGTAAACGTCCATATCCTAACTATAGATTCTGTTGCGTTAGGATTTATTTCGATAAAGTTCAATACTGTGCATGTTGTTTGACGTTTCTAACAGAACCCAACAAACACACTCATCTGCAGTGGTCTTCTTGTAACCTTGACTCTGTATGCATGAGTCAAACTTCTTATTCCACTGTCTTGGTGCTTGCTTCAGACCATACAAGCTTATAGATAGCTTGCACACAAGGTTCTCACTTGAAACCTCAAAACCTTCTGGCTGCTGCATATAGATTTCTTCTTTCAAATCTCCGTGAAGAAAAGTTGTCTTCACATCCATCTGTTCAAGCTCCAAATTCATACTTGCTGCCAAGCCAAGTATGACTCGAATTGTGGTCATTTTGACAACTTGTGCAAAGATCTCGTTAAAATTAATCCCTTTCTTCTGCTGAAAGCCTTTGACTACCAATCGAGCTTTGTGTTTCACCACTTGTCCATTTGCATCTTTCTTTAGCTTGAACACCCATTTGTTTTTCAAAGTCTTTTCCCTTCTGGAAGTTTAACTATCTCATAAGTTTGATTTTTCTGCAGAGAATCTAACTCTTCCTGCATCGCAGCCATCCATTTTTCTTTATCCTTATGAGATATGGCTTCTTGAAAACTCTCTGGTTCTCCATCTTCTGTCAATAGAAGGTATTCAGATGATGAGTACCTTTTTGATGGTATATGACCCTGTTCAGAGCTACGAGAGGGTAGAACCATCTGAGAAGAACTTCCAACATTGGTGTCTGGCAAAATAGGTTGTGGCTCCCCTTGCTCTGGCAAGATGAGTTGTTGCTCTCCTTGCTCTGCACTCTCTTCTGTCTCCTCCTCTTCTTCTAGTACATCATCTTCATTGTTTCTCCGGAACAACTCTGGTGCTTCATCTGAAACTTGAGCACCCACATTTGACTTTTGAGATATCTTGGGCTTTTCGATATCTTCTATTGTCAAATTTTCTTGGAACACAACGTCCCTACTTCTGATCACCTTTTTCTACTTTGGATCCCAAAATCTGTATTCAAACTCTTCATCTCCATAACAAATGAAAATGCATGGGATGGACCTTGCATCGAGCTTCTTTCTGAGCTCTTTGGATACATGTGCATATGCTACACAACCAAATACTCTGAGATGTGAGTATGTTGGATCCTTACCAGTCCATATTCTCTCTGGAACTTCAAAATTTAATGGAACTGATTGTGATCGGTTGATTAGATAACATGCGGTCTTGACAGCTTCTCACCAAAATGGCTTTGGTAATTTAGCCATATTCATCATGCTTCAGACACGCTCCATGATAGTCCGGTTCATTCTTTCAGCAACGCCATTGTGCTGAGGGGTACATGGTACTCACTTCTCATGTCGAATGCCATATGTCATGCAATATGCATTGAACTCCTTAGAAGTATACTCTCCTCCATTATCAGATCGGAGACATACCAGCTTCTTTCCTGTTTCACGTTCTACCATGATGTGAAATGACTTGAAGTACTCAAACACCTGGTCCTTCGTATTCAAGAAATATACCCACACCTTTCGAGAAGCATCATAAATGAAAGTCAAAAAATATTTGCTTCCACCTAGTGATTCAATCTCCATGGGACCGCAAACATCAGAGTGTACCAAGCTTAACAACTCTGATCTCTTTGTTGAACTGGCATTGAATGAGACTCTATGCTCTAAACAGGCAATGACTGCAAGAACCCATCGCTGCACTCTTATCAACCTTGATAAGATCCTTCTTCATTAGGGTAGTCAACACTTTCTCACTCATATGGCCAATCTCTGGTGCCATAGATCCTGAGAAACCTCCTCTGCAACATTGAGGCTTTCTGTACTGATTTTCAAGTGTGTTTTGTACAGCGTCCCGCAAACATATCATCGAGCAATTTTCAAAACACCCTTTGACAACTTCCATGTGTCTGCGCCAAAGTGATTTTCATATCCTTCTTTGTCAAGAGCCACCACTCACAAAAGATTCAGCCTAAGATCCGACACATGTTTGACATCCTTCAACAGGATTGTACTCCTAGTTCCTGTCGTTGATTAGAAATCAACAATTCCAGCAATTTCAGAGGAATTGGAATTTCCCATCTTCACCGATCAAAAGTCTCCAGCTTGGTATGTTGTCAAGAATTTCTTGTTAGGAGTAACGTGATAGGATGCTGCAGTATCGACCACCCGTTCCAATTCTTCTCTTGAGACATAAAGGCATGTCTCACCAGTTAGAGCAATATGTTACATCACCTGAGACAGTGACAAGAGTTTCACCACCTTTGCCCTTGTTCTTCTGCTAAGAACTATTCTTTAACTGAGAATTGCTCTTGCCCTGCTCCTCGTGCCATTTATAGCAATTCTTCTTCATATGACCTTCTAGACCACAATGATAGCACACATGCGATCTCCGATCATCTGATTGCCTCCTCTTGCTTCTACCCCTGCTCTTGCCTCTACCGCTTCTTTGTTGCTTGCCTTGTGGTCTTCGTCGATTCTCCATCACAAGGGCATGAGTCTGATCTGTGCCCATGTCTTTCCTTCTTGCCTCTTTGTTGAATAAGGCATCCTTGACAATAGACATGGAAAGTTTGTCCTTTGAGGCTGAATTGCTGAGAGTAACAACGAGTGTTTCCCAACTATCAGGAAGGGAACTATGACGTAGTAGAGATTGCATTTCATCTCCAAGCGGCATCTCCACACAAGATAGCTGACTTACCAGGCTCTGGAACTCACTGGTATGCTCGGCAACAGAAGTTCCACTTTTCAATTTCATATTGACTAAGCGCCTCATCAATAAGGCCTTATTCCGAGCTGTTTTGGCCTGGTACATGTCCTCCAGCTTTCTCCAAAGGACATATGCATCGGTTTCTTGTACAACCTGATGGAAGACACTATGGTCTATCCATTGTCGGATTTGACCAATAGTTTTTCTATTCATTTTCTTCCATTCTAACGCCTTGGACGGATCAGGGTTAATACCCTTCAGCTCTATTGGGTCAAAGAGCTCTTTACAGCTGAGTAAATCTTTCATCCGAGGTTTCTACAGCGTATAGTTGGTAGCCGTGAGCATAATCATAGCTCCAGAAGATGAAGTTGGCTCTTCCATGGTCATTCACACCTTCAATGATCTGTTAGGGACAAATCGGAGCTGAATTTCAAAAAATAGACAGCACCGTTGCGTCCGGAACAGTCGAAAATTTTAATAGCCTAGTTTCTTGTTAATAAAAGTGATGTATTTCCTCTTATTAATCTCGTTCATTTTCAGCGTTTAAATTAATAAGTTCGACTTTAAGTTAAAAATCTATTCGGTTAAATTATTAACCGAGTTGAAGTTAATAATTAATTTCCGAACCGTTTATTTTATAAACGGATATTATTAGTCGGGATTAATTATTGAGAATCGAGAATGATCGAAGTTATTTTATCAAGATCATGTTAAGTTTTGGAAATCAAGCCCTAAGTTATATATATAAGTGTACGTACACCAAGCTTAAGCCACTACTCATCATTATCTTATAAGTTGATAAGTGCTTTGATCAAACTAATTATGCCATGCTTAATCCATGGATCATTGCCGTGAGAATTTTTCCACAATTAGTATATTATGTGCAAGTTGATGTGCTTAGTCACCTACTAGCTTAGCCATATGGCATGACCTTAATATTTCAAGTGATGACTAAGCTTATGAGTGATGACTAGGTTAGCTTAAAGTGCCACATAGCATAGTGACTAAGCCATAAAAAATGCCACCATGCATGGAGATGAAAGCAAGTGCACTATATCTTTTAGCCTCATTTTATCTCCATCCTTTCTTACATATTTAACTAAGTAAAAGCCGTGAGTTTCCATGCAGTTTCATGCAAGAACCGACCTAATATCAGCTTACAAACCAAGAGAAAAGAGTGAGAAAAATTAGGAGAAAAATCATACAAAAATTTCTAATAATAGACGAAGCTAAGGAGGATCACACGCACAAGCATTCGAGCACCGACAAGCACGCAAGCCACCATGCGTTTTATGAGAGAATTGAAGGGTATGCTCTTAACTACCCTCTTTTTATGTATTTAAGCTCATGTTAGTAAGATGAGGTCATTATCATGTCGTTCGATTCGAGTTTTGTGCTAAAAAGGCCCCGGAGGTGCTATATAAGCCCTCTCCGAGTTATTTTAAAATCTAACCGGCAAGTCCCGAGCAATTCATGCATATTTAGACAAGTCAAGTCATTTTATGATCAGTCATATGTGGGTTGCTGGAAAAAGTTACCGGACGGCCGGCGAAAGGCCGACCGTAGTGCCTGGCCGCACACAGTGTGTTCATGGCACACCCGGCAGTCGCAGCGGGCACGCAGGCAGCGTGCACACGCCTAGCGGTGCGTGCGCGTAGCCAGTGCCTCGCAGCCAGTAGCGCGCTACTGTAGTTATGCGCGTAGGCGTGCACAACGCACGCCAACACGCACAGCAGCGCAGCCTGTCCTATTTGCGTACGCCACAGCACGTTGCACGCCCAGTAGCGTGCCCCGCAACGCCCGTACGCCCACCAGCAGCGCTCCGCGCACGCTGGCCAGTGTCCACGCACGCCAGCACGCCCAACAGTGTGCCAGCAGTGCCCAGCAGGCCTCGGTGTTGCCCGACAGTACGGCTGAGTGCCCAGTCATCCCAGCACGCGTAGCCCGCGTTCCAGTCGCCTGCCTACTGCACGCAGTAGCGCCCGGCAGTGCCCGTGCGTACCAGTGCCGTCGCCAGTGCCTGCGACAGTGGCTAGTCATGCCCCGTAAGTACCCAGCAGTTGTTTTCCGTGCACAGCAGCACGCCTGTGACCGTCCACAGCTCACGCGCGGTGCCAGTGCACCCGCCAGCGGACGGACCAAGCCCAGCCAGCGCCATCCAGCGCCAGCAGCGCCGGCAGCGCTTAGGTCGCGCCCAGGGTGCGCACATGACTGAGCCAGTGACCAGCCAGCGGCCGACCGCCCGGCCGCAGCAAGCCGGCGGTTCGACCAGTTAGTGAACCGGCCGGTTCAGACCGGTTACTTGAGCAGTTCAGTACTTGGTAACCCGGTCCGAGTTCGGTACAGTATTTCAGTTAATTTTTCAGTCCAGTCGGTTCAGTATACCAGTACCAGTTAAGTCCAGTTTTCTTGTCAGTCAAGTTAGACCCTGAGATTATTCCAGTTAAATATCTAGATCGAGTCGAGCATCTTAACAGCTATTTTCAGTCAGTCTGAGCATAGTACTTAGTATTTGTTTATTTATATATATTTTTACAGATTGATCAGCAGCAACACTTACATTTTTAGACTAGCAGTTCAGGTGGGAATTCAGACTGGGTATTACATTGATTATAATTACTCTACCATGTTTGAGGTATGTATATGAGTTATCCGTTTTGGGTGGAGGCCAGTTTCCTTAATAGGCCATCCCGAGTTCGGGTGGAGGCGCAGTAGCCTTAATTGTCCATCAGAGTGAGCACATGGTTATGGACATAGTGTCCGAGATATTCAGTTCAGTTACCCACCTAGTGTCGGGAGATTACAGTCTACTTATACATATCTGCGATCATGATATTGATATTATTATTAATTTTTACTTCAGTATGAATTTCTGCGGAGCACAGTGGCTTTAGTACTCACGCTCCCACTATATTATCTTTTCAGGTGACAGGGTCGGTCCGGAGGAGTGAGCGAAGCAGGTGGTCGTGGGTTCAGTATATATATATATATATATATATATACACATGCTTTTGCAGATTTATGATATGTATATTATTTGCCACGTTTTTACTTCCGCTGACATTTTCAGACTTTCAAACTCGCATGTTAGTTTTTAGATTTTGATCCGAACTGTCTGGTCCGATTTATACAGTGTTACATGCCGGTTTGATAAGATAATCTGCTTTTCTAAATAAGTTTTAATTTAGTAAAGTTAACGGGTTTTTAGAAAAGGAAAAAATGTTTATCTGTAGCATCCCGAGTCACGATTTCGGAAACTAATAAGTATTTTTAGAAAAGAATTTGCAAAAACTTAACTCTGATTTTTAATAAGCTAGCGGGGTGTTACAAATTGGTATCAGAGCACGATTTTGTGTATCTGAATACTTTATTAAGTCAGGAAATTTTCAGAAAAACCGACCACGCTGCGCTCATGTCTCGCCGTCTACCAGGTAAGTGCTGAGTTACAGTTTATATACATATATATATATATATATATACATATATATATATATACATATATATATATATATCTAAACGAATGCTTAAGTCTATGCTCAGTAGAGGGTATCAGATATTTAACCCTAGAAACCAGTAAGATGCTCGAGTTAGTGATAAAGTACTTTCAGAACATAGTCGATTGTCCCAGTGATTTGATAATTCGACTCTAGTTTTCTCGAGATAATTTTAGCAACACGTCAAGAGATTTGTGCGCATTAATAATCAGTTAAAGTATTTTGTCATGTTATAATTTTGCATCTGATTACGTTGATCTTTTCAATATTCATATGCCGCCTCATAGAGAACCAGGTCATCAGGAGGTCCCCCAGGCCGCAGTAGTCGCACAGTTTCGCGACTATCACCAGAAAAGTTCTCCGGCCAGGGAGATCCTGGTATCGTGGACGAATGGGTCCAAGGCCTTGAAATGATTTTCGAGGTCATGGACTGTCCAGACCGCTATCGTGTTTTATGAGCACAGCTTCAGCTAACCGGTGATGCTCGACTCTGGTGGAATGCTTACTGGAGTATGCATCCCGGCGAAAAGGACGGTTGTACCTAGGATAGGTGCAAGGAGTTGATTCGTGAGAAGTACTATCCCACGTATTACCGAGCAGAGATGGAGCGTCAGTTCCTGGCGCTCAAACAGGGTACTCGTTCCGTAGATGAGTACGAGAGGGAATTCACCAGACTCGGGGCCTTTGTTCCCGACCTAGTGCATACAGAAGCACAAAGAGCGCAGCATTTTACTGACGTGCTTTACCCAACAGTCTGTCACAATATTGTAGGTAGCACTGTCAAATGGGCCGGTCCGGCCCGGCCCGCTCCGGCCCGTGCTGGCCCGCGGTCCAAACGGGACGGGCCAAAATGGCCCGCATTTCTGCGGGCTGGAAAATACATAGCCCGTGGCCCGCCCGCATTAGCCCGCGGGTTTTGTTTTTTGTTTTCTTTTTTTTTTTATTTTATTATGGTATTTGCACTCTTATATATTTTTTGGTTTGTTTATTCTTATATTTACTAGTATATTAATAAACTAGTAAGGTTTCATGTGTAATGATGTTAAATATTTGTCATCTAGTTTTTATTTTTATTTTTTTTATCAATAGTTATTGGGTATTCACGCGCAGGAACGATTTGATTGACATAAAATATTATTTGATTTATTAATATTTTTTCTTATGTAAAAAAAATGTTTCATGTGCAAGATAGAAATTAGAAATAAAATAAAAATACTACATTTAAATAATTTATAAAAAAAAAAAAAAGGGCCAGCCCGCCCAGCCCGCGGGCTGGCCCGCCCCAGCCCACGGGCCAAACGGGGCGGGCCAAATAGGCCCGCGATTGAACGGGCTGGCCAAGCAAAGGCCCAAGCCCGTCCGTTTAAGCGGGCGGGCGGGGCAGCCCGCGGGCCACTGGCCCGTTTGACAGTGCTAATTGTAGGTCATGGCATCCAGACCTACGCCCGCACAGTCGCCATTTTTCAAGAAGTGGATGCTAGTATCCGACGAGAAGCTATTCCGACTCCAGCCCAGCCAGTTGCTCAACCACCTGCCCAGCCCAACTTTGTCCAACAACCAAAGAACAAGAACAAAAGGAAGCTTAGAGGGGACTCAGACGATCGCAGGAACCGCCAGAGGCAGCAGCCACCGATACCAGCTTGCCCCACATGTGGACGATGTCACCGCGGAGAATGCCTTGTGGGCCAGAACATTTTTTTCTTTTGTCGCCAACCCGTCCATATCAGCCCCAACTGCCCAGAACGACTGCAACAACAACCACAACAACGACAGCAACCTCAGCAATCTCAACAGCAGCAGCCCAGGCAACAGCCACCACGACCCCAACAACAGCCACGCGGCAGACAGCAGGCCCATGTCTTTGCAGTTGACCAGAGGGAGGCCGACCAGCACCCAGGTACCATGTCTGGAATGATTGTTCTTAATGATGTGATTGTTTATGCCTTATTTGACACCGGAGCGACCCATTCTTTTATATCACGCTGACGTCTCGAAGCTATTGGGGTCCATTCTCTTACCACTGTCGATCCTCTCGAGGTGAGTTTAGCCTCGGGACAAAATATAGTAACTGATGTTAGAGCCACCGATCTTAGCCTTTCCATCGGCGGTCGTATTTTGACTACTGATGCCTATGTTATCTAGATGAGGGATTTTGACCTCATACTCGGTATGGAATGGCTATCACGTTTTCACGCATATATCCGATGTCATGACCGGGAGATTACTCTCTATCTTCTGGGAGATGACCAAATCACTTATTTTGGCTCCAGGACTCGTACTCTGCCCCACGTTATTTCTATGGCGAAAGCCAAAAAGATTCTCCGACAGGGTGATTGTCAGGGTTATCTTGTGAACCTCGTTGGAGATGAGCCAAAGGCACGGTCACCTCATGACATTCCCATTGTTCGTGAGTTCGTGGACGTGTTTCCAGATCAGCTTCCCGGTGGTCTACCCAGCCGACAAGTGGAATTTTCTATCGATCTTATTCCTGGAGCCGGACCTGTTTCTAAGGCGCCATATAGAATGGCACCTAAAGAATTGCAGGTATTAAAGACCCAAATTCAAGAGTTGCTGAATCTCGGTTTTATTTGACCGAGCGTCTCACCTTGGGGAGCACCCGTTCTCTTTGTCAAGAAGAAGGACGGATCCATGCGTATGTGTATCGACTACCGGGATCTTAATCGATTGACGATCAAGAATAAATATCCGCTTCCCAGAATCGATGATTTATTTGATCAGTTGAGGGGCGGCTGTGTATTTTCCAAGATCGATTTACGTTCAGGCTACCATCAGCTGAAAATCAAGGAATCAGACATACCTAAGACAGCGTTTCGTACAAGATACGGTCACTTCGAGTTCGTGGTTATGCCGTTTGGCCTTAGCAATGCCCCGGCAGTATTCATGGACTTGATGAACCGTGTGTTTCATCATTTTCTTGATCTGTTCGTTATTGTATTCATTGATGATATTCTTATCTATTCCAAGAGCTAGAAGGAGCATGAAGAGCATCTGAGGGCCGTTCTTGAGACCCTTAGACGTGAAAAGTTATATGTGAAGTTCTTTAAATGCAAATTTTGGCTTCAGCGAGTGGCTTTTCTTGGCCACATTATTACTCAAGCAGGTATTGAAGTAGATCCTTCCAAAATTGCCGCAGTCAAGAACTGGTCAGCACCGAAGAATCCGTCCGAGGTTCGTAGTTTTGGCCTTGCAAGTTATTATCGCAGATTTATTGAGGGGTTTTCAAAGATTGCCCTCCCTTTGTCGCAGTTGACGAGGAAGTCTGTGAAGTTTGAGAGGACAGACCGTTGTGAGTCGAGTTTTCAGGAGCTGAAAAGGAGGCTTAGGATGGTACCGGTGTTGACTATTCCAGATCCTTCTCGGAGTTTCACCATCTATAGTGATGCTTCGAGGCGGGGTTTGGGGTGTGTACTTATGCAGGACGGTCAGGTTGTAGCATACGCTTCATGTCAGTTGAAGCCCCATGAACAGAACTATACTACCCACGACCTGGAGTTAGCTGCA